ATAGAAGATTTGCATCAATACTCTTTGACTTGAAAATGTAAACTGACAATAAATACTTTCATACGCAAAAGCTCAAAACGGTAACAATATTAAAAAAAAGTGATACACAAAAACAGAATATTATAAAGAAAGAAATAAGATAAATTTTTGCTTTTATATATTATCAAATAAATGATAACAATTTAGCACTACATACCTCAATCTTGATCGATATTTAAATGCATTATAATTATTAATATTTTAGCATTATGTGTCTCATTATTAGATAATATTTGAATGAATTATATGAAACTAACAACTGTTAGCAATTTGGTACTACATATCTTATTCTTCAATGATATTTGAATGAATTTTACAAAGTTAATAACTATTAGCAATTTAGCACTACATGTCTCATTCTTAATTGATATTTAAATATATTGCACAAAGCCAGGATATGAATACTATTTTGATACTATATGTCTTAAATCTGGCTCTCATAGAGAAATTAATCAGAAAGTTAAAGTACTACGTGCCAGATTTAGGTATAGTTCTCATATTAGATTTACAAATAATGATATATGATTGGATATATCATATGGCTTAATAATGAAAATCAATCATGATTATTAATCCAATATATAATATATTGCATGTAATCTGATATGTAAAATACGTCACCTTGATGTGTGTCATAAAAAGCAAAATACATGTCACTTGAGCTGTGACCTAAAATGCAAAATGCACATTGTATTGATGTATATTTTAGTGATTTTTAAGTGATAATACAAATGTAATTTATATAGCATCCAATATGTAAACTATAACTATTTCATCTTGGTAATATAAAAGCAAAATGCATATTATTAGAGCATGATCTAAAATATAAAACACATGTTATTCTTGAATGATTTATAGTTCATACTAAGTGATATAATTATAATTTAATTAGATTATAATTATATCACTTATATAAATATAATATATATTTTTTAGCTCAAATAATTTTAGAAGTAACTTTAATTTTAATTATTTTTCTCTTTCTTTAATAATTTTTTTAATATAATTAAATATCTATAGTCATATCTATTTATAGTTACATTACTCTATAATTATATTATTTTGCTTTTCTATTTATATATAAATATAGTAAAAAATTTCTTTATAGTCATATTCCTTCTATAATTATCAAATTTGCTTTCCTAAGAGTGATAATTATAGAGTGATTTAATTATATTTTCTTATAATTTTTGTATTTGACTTCTCATTTTAGCTATAAAATCAAAGTAATATAATTAAATTAATAAATAATTATAAATTATTTTACTTATTAATAAACCAAATTTTAAAAGAATATTACTTTTGAATATTTTTGATTTTATTTTAGCTAATTACAAAATAAATATATTATCTACTTTTAATAATTTAGTATTTTTTTCTTTAATAGTTATTTATATACAAATCCTCATATTTGATATAATTACATATGTTATTCATATATCTTCTTATGACAAAGCTCAAAATTATATAAAATAATAACAATATTATCATTCAAATTAAATTACTAAATATTGAGATATTATATTCTAAAGTAACTGATTCATTATATTTTGAACATGAAAGTTTATTAATATATAATATTTAATATAAAAGCTCTATCAACTTATAAAAAGTATTAATAATCAGTATTTGTAATATTCTTTATACTTGGAAAAATTTGATGTATTATATATAATTTACAGAAATTAGAAAAAGTTAAATACTTTTGCAGATTATTATAATTTTAAAATATTATTAATAATTTAATTTTTTCAAAAATAATTGGATGATTATATTTAATTGAATAATTATCTCTTAAATTGTTTAGCAAGCAAATTTGTCTGCTAAAATTTTTTTAGCTTATTTTTGTAAGTTTAATTTCTTCTTTTTCTAAGCTAAAATAAAAATATAACATATTTTTAATCAATATAATATAAAATTTATAATTTTGATTTATAATTGCTCAAAATATTTGATTAATTTTTTAATTAATTCTGTAATTTTATTATAAAATTTAAGGTTAATAATAAAAATTTTTTAACATTGCTTATTTTTAACTTATAGACAACTATAATTATTAAAAAAAGTGAAAATAACTATTATATAACATATAATTAAAGCTAAAATTAAACAAACTTTTTTTAATATATTTTAATTCACTAAACCTAATAGTTTAAGAAATATTAATTTTATCCTGATCAAAATTAGTTCTATTACATGTAAATAATTATTAACTAATTGATTAACTATTCAATAAAATCTTAATAATAAAATTGTCCAATAAAAATATAATAAAATGTTATCCAATAAAATAAAAAAATGTAATTGTCCAATAAGAATTTGATGATAAAATCTAACTTATAACAACATAATAATTTGTTAATATTTTAGAATGTTGGTCCAAATTAAGTATAATTTACGAAATTAACCAGAAATTATTGATAAATTAATCGATCTTTTTATAATGCCAGGCAAAATTAATTATGTTGTATAAAAATTTTCCGTCTAATCAAAAATTTGTGTGCATTCTTATTGGTTTAACGCTACCCGGCTGATCAAAAATTTGCGCGCATATTGACCATTTTAAGACATTATCACGTTCTATCGCTATGATTAAGTGGTGGCCCATTTTTTTTACGCGCGTCTCTTTAAGCGAAAAGCGCGTTTTTAAAGTAAATTTTTTTTTGAAATAATTTATGTTAAGAAAAATGCAAAAAGCTATAGAAATGGAAATCGACACGAAGACCAACAATAATAGCTTTGTTGAGCTTGAGCCAATGGACATTTCATTTTGCGAGACAACCACATCCCGCTCTTCCGAAGACGACGTGTTTGAAACGGAAACTCCTGTTGCATCAACTTCTAGAGCCGTCACGACGCGTTATTCTTCTCGGTTGAAGCGAAAAGCGGACAACCCTTCAAGTTCTGCAATCTCCTCACGTTCCAAAGCAAAGAAGTCAAAAGGTACTTTAATAATTTACCACTTTTGTATTAATTTCATTTGTAGTATTAAGTGAATGCATTGTTTCTTTTAGCGAATGTGCAGTATAATTTATCGTATTTTAATTATATTTATATTTATATTTATATTTTCTCTTTAAAAATTAGCTGCTAAAAAGAAAATTAAGGAAACGAAACGATACGAGATAGATCCAAAAGAAGTCCCAGAAACAGTCGAATTCGAGTTAATCGGTGAAGATTTAGTTGGAAATGATGAAATACTCGAAAATTCCGAAGATCCATTAACGAGTAACGCTAATCCAGAAAGAAATGAATCATTGCCCTGTCGTTACCTCGACGATTTTATCTTTTATGATGTACGGAATAACAATGAAATAGTCAATTTAGACGCATATGACAATTTAGAATGTGAACTTCGCGCATCTGGCTTGGTAAGACCGATGTATTCTGACGATGATATTTATGAAGAGGACGACGACGATGACGACGAAGGTGGTAGTTCTAAACAAGATATGGATAATATTCGTGTTAATTTGAGTACAATTTTCTATTATCAGATTGAGTACAGTCAGTCTGGTCAAAGGTATGTAACATCTTATTGAGATGCAACTTTTTTGAGATTAGACATGACATTAATAAGTTACATATACTTTATATAGTGAAATATGGCTCCGTACAGAGTTCTCTTGGTATAAATTAGTAAATCCTTCAGATGCCTATAAATCTTGTTTTACTCCCTTGTTTAAAAAAATTCGACTTGTAAATCTTATTATTCAAGCGATGGCGGCAAGTCCTGATGTTACTTATGAAGGATTCCTAAATTCATTAAAATCACCACCCTCGAGTAGCTCGAATGACAACAATGAATTTGAATCAAGCATAACCTTTAATGCGAATGACATCACTTCAGAAATATTCTATATTTGTGAAGAGATTAGTGCGTGGCTGGGAGAGCTCGAAACGCAAGAAGAAGAAAATTGGAAAATATTTGACTGCCCACTATTCATATATTTGCAAAAAATATTAGAAAAGAAACCGGGTTCAAAAAAATCACGACACAGTACTGCAGATACTGACATGCGTAGAACAAAACGAAATGTCAGCTTAAAGAACTCAAATTTAGCTGTACTTCGACATACGAATCCAACATGTGTCACTCCATTTATACAAGATCTTACAAAAGGACTATTTGTTCGCAAACTTATAACTGCCCCGCAAATAAACGGAGTAGCCGACAATCAACTGGAAGATATATCGGATCATGATCATTTGATTAACATTGAAAAAGAAACAACCGACAAGATTGATTGGATCGAAAAAATCGGAGTTGAATATGGAATTACCTACTACAGTTCTGTTAGAATCGACGGTGAGATAATAAGTGTAGGCGATATTGTATATGTTCGTAATGACGAATCAAACGAACCATGGTTCGCCAAAGTGATTTATTTGTTTAATGATCCGGAAGAAGGCAAAATGTTCCATTCGCGTTTCTTTAGTCGTGGAAAAGAAACAATCTTAAAAGAATTGGCTGGTGCTCGTGAACTGTTTTTGTTGGATCAATGTGCCGATAATCCATTGGCGTCAATTATGAAGAAAGCAAATGTTAAACGAGTCGATACCTTGGAAACTTTATCCAAGGAAGAGAGAGACAATTTGGAGGAGAAAAACGAAAGCAATGATAGTTATTATTATCGGTAAGTTTAGCTTGAACTAATAAGAGAATGATTGATTGTTTATTATCTAAATATTAAATATATATTTTTATCTTAGATTTTGGTATGACGAAGAAAGGCCTTCTTTTATTGATGCAAAATTAAAAGAGCCTACGAATGACATTAAGAATCTCCTTGATTATTGTTACGCTTGCGAGCATCACTTGGCAAAGAAATTGGATAAAAAGGCACGGTGGGTCTCTCCTGGGGACACAACACGTGGCATTATATATAAAGGTGTAGAATATCATTTACATGATTTCGTTTATTTGATTCCCGATGAGTCACATCAAGTATCTCCATATGAGGTAGCCCAAATAATCGAAATTTTTGACAATGATGCAACGTCGTCGGATATAGAGAGCTACTTTAAAAAGAAGAAAATAAATAAACGACATGAAAAAGATGATGATGATGATCGCACTGGAAATATCAAATTGACTGTACGTTATCTTGTGCGTTATGATGATCTTCTTGAATCAAAATATTCAAAGAAAAGTTCGACCAATGGAGCAAGTTCGGCAACAAGTTCAACGAATGCAGCAATCTACGAGATGAAAGAGATTAAAGATACGAGAAGATTAGTATTTACATCAGAAAAAACATTATTATCGATCGATAAACTTGAAGGTACATGTTGGGTGGAACACTCTGACGCTATCAATGATCTTAATACTTACAAGGACGAAAGGGATACATTCTACGTCAAGGATCAAATGTCCAAACCCGGCCGCGAACATTTAGATTTACAAGAAATTGACAAACATGAGATACATCTCTGCCAAATATGCCTTGAAACACGCAAAAATCATAAAATGGAATTAGCTGAATTTATGCAATTTATCCAGGACGGGCATAAATTGCGTGCTATGGATATATTCTCTGGTTGCGGAGGTATAACGGTTGGGATGGAAAAAACTGGCGTAGTTGATACGCGTTGGGCAATTGAATTTGCACCGAGTGCAGCATTAACTTTCAAGTAAGTAAATTGATAGTTTGGACTAAAATATCAAAAACCTCAACTAAAGCTTCTCTTAAATAGAAAAAATCATCCACAAGCCACTACGTACAACCAATGTGCGAATTTGTTGTTAGAAAGAGCAATAGCTCAACACAATCAAGAGGAATTAGGTGACCTCGAAGATTTCCAGGGTAAACTAGTAGAAGCAATGCCTGCTAAAGGTGAAGTCCAATTCATTTACTGTGGGCCTCCATGGTGAGTAAAATTACTGTAATATATATAAAAGAAAATACATTTCGCTCTAAATGATTTGGTTGTCTCCTTCTTTTCTTGATTCTCTTTAGTCAAGGGTTCAGTGGTGTGAATCGGTATAAGAAAGCGGACGATATCAAAAATTCGTTAGTGGCAACGGCCCTCAGTTATGTCGACTTCTATAGGCCAGACTATTTCTTACTTGAGAATGTAAGGGGTATGATAGCTTTTAGATTGGGCGGCGAACAAGATGGAAAAACGAGAATAAAAGGAGGAATATCAATGGGAGTTGTGAAATTCATTTTAAGAGCTTTGACCGCATTGGGGTAATTTATTGATACAAATCTCCGCGTTATATAATCTATTTTTTTAACATGTTTATATATTATTTGTAGCTATCAAGCAAGATTTGGTGTACAACAAGCAGGAAATCACGAAGTTCCACAAAGTCGACGACGACTATTCATTTGGGGAACGAAAATCGGTCACAATATACCGGACTTTCCACAGCCGTCAACTTGCTTCGCTCAACGAGGATCTGTCTCGATTCCGCTACCAGATGGTGGCAGTTTTCATTACAATTTGCGCACGAATGGATTTGCGCCGCATCGTGGAATCACTGTTGGTGAAGCAATCAACGATCTTCCAGAGTTTGAATACGTTAATCCACACGAAGTATATCCAGCGACCGAAGAGGAAAGGCAAGAGCAACCAAAATGGAAGCAACTTATAGTTCCAAAAGGTGGTTGTGTCGGCGAAGCTGAACGTGAATATGAATCAGAGCCACTGTCAGAGTTTCAAAGACAGTGTCGTAAGGAGGCCAAGAAATTATATAATCACGTGACCAGAACTTTTCTATCTCTTAACGTTGAACGCATTTATAGAGTTCCTTTAATAGCCGGTGCCGACCATCATGGTAAGCAAGAAGTAATTGTTTATACTCGTAGAATAGAAATCTGATCTTGTTATTTTTCTGAAATTATCACAGATTTGCCACAGAGACTAAAACCGTGGTGTTTGAGTGATCCTAATTCAGCTGCAAGTCGACACAATGGTTGGAAGGGTTTATTCGGAAGACTTGACTTTAATGGTCACTTTGCTACGGCATTGACTGACGTAAATCCTATGGGAAAAACTGGGGTAAGTAATACATTTAATAAATCATTCTTGTCTAACTATACAGATATATTAATTTCTATATGGTCAAAAGACGGTATTACATCCAAATCAACGACGCATTCTCACTGTACGTGAATGTGCACGTGCTCAAGGATTTCCCGATGACTTCATATTTTACAGTGATCGTGGTGATATGAAAGATCTTCATCGTCAAATCGGAAACGCGGTTCCACCACCACTGGCGTTCGCTTTAGGAGAATTTCTGGTCAAGGCGTTATTCGAAAAATATAAGCAGGAAAAGATGAATATAAAAAATAAAGGCAAACAAAGGATTATTGATTAATAAACTTTTAATATTAGATTTAGTGGTTTAGGATTAGGCTGTAATTTTTTTACTTAATGTAATTTCAGGCAAATACAGGAATTTGGAGCAGCGTTATCGTTATATAACAATAATCTACATAATGAAATCTGCAAATTATGATGTGACAAATTTACTCCTTACATGCAATCTATTGCTCGTTAGCTTATACTAAAGCAAGCAAAGATGGGTTATAAATTTCATCAGGAATGTGATCACAAAGAAGCAACAGTCGCTTTTGTTAAAATATTTTAGGCTATAATTTAAACAATTGGACTGGCGATAATTTTGCAACATGGGAGAGATAATGTAGATCATTTTAAAAAACGACACATAATCTCTCATGGAGCGATTTCAAACATTCCAGAATAAACTACATTTTTCGTATATCAAGTATAAGGAAAATAAAAACAGTTTGTCAGTAACTCACATTTCTAAACAAAATCACCTTTTTTTAACCAAAAGCACCTTTTTACAACCTGGCTCAGAACAAGACTACTTACCAAAGTGCAAGCAAATCCAAGAGACATATGGCGTCCCGGAAGGATTGTTATCGTCAGGACACCTGGTAGAAAACGACTCTATTCAATTACAGACATACATAGAATCTTTGGAGACAATCAACAGACACAGTTCACGCAAAAGGCCAAGATCTGCTACGCCAGAGTCAGTCAGAGCATCAACGAGACGACCTTGAACGACAGATCGCCAATCTCCGACAACACTACCCAGAATATGAAATTGTCAGCGATATCGGCTCAGGACTCAACTGGAAACGCAAGGGATTTGTTGCCCTTCTGGAACGAATACACGCAGGAGGAATCGAGGAAGTGGTGGTTACCCGAAAGGTTGAGTTTAATTTTTATTTGTTATTATTTTTATTGCTTTTATTATTTTACTAACTTTTTTTATTAGGAACGATTGTGTCGTTTCGGATTCGAGTTTGTGGAATGAATCTTTGAGAAGAATGGTGGTACTCGGTACAGATGTTAGTGCCGAGAGTAATGAAGCCGGAGAACTTGCAGAAGATTTGCTCTCGATCGTTACGGTATTTGTGGCAAGACATAACGGAATACGTTCAGCCGCCAACCGCAAAAGAAGACGAGAAGTTACCCAAGCCCAAGAAGATCAAGAGTTCCAAGATCCCAGCAGGCAAGACACAACGTATCCGTCTCTTTCCTACACAAGAAGAGCGGTCGAAACTCAGACAATGGATAGGGACAGCACGCTGGACGTACAATCAATGCCTTATCGCGGTCGAAAAAGGTGTCAATCGAAACAAA